AATTATCATATAAAAACTAAAATAAATTTTTTGGTACAAAGACTAAAATCGAGAAGTTGACAAAGGAATAAGTTCCACATGATTAATTTTTTAATAATTTTAATTCAATTAAGTCTTTATAAAACTTGTAAGTTTTAATATTGGTTTTTACAAATTTGTATTTTAATTTTTAGAAATTAAATTTGTTAGTCTTTATAAAATATTAAAATTTTGATTTTAATCTCTAATTTTTCAATTTTTTTAATTCAAAATTTTAAATAATTATTTTAAAATAAACTATTGATATATTATTGAAGTAAGTCACTATATTTTAGAAAATTTCAGTTATATATTAAATTTGAAATATGTACTCTTCTTCTATGTTTATTGATTTGGCTACAGATTTATGGAACATTTTGTTTTATATATATGAAAGATTAATTTAGAGAATTCGTTAGTGTAACTGTTTTGTATGGTTAGCTAACTAAAATCCTCATAAAAAAGCTGATTAAAATTTATTTTGAATACAATCTTAAATATTTATTAGTTTAATTTTAGTTTAAAGGTAAAAGCTAACCACTAACTACAAAACATTTGAAAATGATAACTAAATTTGTATTAAGAAACATAAATACTAGGGGATTTGGTTTTGGTGGTTGTGATGTCTTGATTAATTATGTAAAAAACTATGATTAGTGTCCATCTTCAATGGCTTTGCTTTTACATGTCTTGTCACGCGTGCCACACTGCTCATACATTTCTTTCTTTATTTAAAGAATTACAATGCTTTTACAAGATACTGTCAAATTTTGTATATATTAAATTTTAAAAAATATTAGTAATAGGACTGGAATTTTAGTCAAATTAACTCTTTTTTTTTTTTTGAATTGATTGAAAAATTGGAATAAACTTTATTTTCTATTATCATTATTATGTGACATTTATGAATAGAATAATATAGATTATGATATTTTCCGTATAATGCTAATATTTTAGTTATAATCAACTTTCTCCATATTGTCTTAAACCTAAATGTATTATTTACAAACATGACAGTAATAGAACCTTTTTAAAAAGGATATAAGCATAAACAACTTAAGTAATGTATTCATTATCATCTTTTGTAACCTAACAGTTAAAAATTCACTTGCTACCGCCACATCTACTTCTTTCAATGAAACTCCAGGTTCAAGTGTTAGATATCAATATTTTGATCTAATAATAAGAAGTATAATAAGTCAATTTATAGTTTTAAGACTAATTTTAAATCCTACACTTGATTTAATATTTATTTATGGTGACATAAATTCATCCCTTTTTAACAGAATAATTAATATTTTGTTAAATATAATATCATATTCACACTGATATAATTTATCTTTATATATATAATATAAATATATCATATTTAAGTGTATATTTCTTTAATTCAAGTGTTTAGATATATATAAAATTCAGATTAATATATTATGTCAACATGTTTATAAAATGAATTGGGACATTTTTCTTTGCAAAAAGATGACGCATTCCTTGACTGTACCTATAAATGTGACATTTTGTTGCACTACATGGTGTACGGCTTATGAGATGGATTTGATCATTTTCACATCATTATACGATGGTTGTAGCAACTAAAGAATGGTGTAGTAATAACATTGGGCAGTGAAGAATTCTTGGTTTTATTTTCTTGTTGCTCAATCATTTAAGTTATTTTTTAAAAAACATTGAATTGTGTAGAGACAAAAAGTATTCATGCATGTAACCCAGTTGACAAGAGGCCAAGTATTCAATTATTATGAATACAATGATAACATTATCTTATCTTATTATAAAAGACAATCCACTGATTCCACACTTTGTATGTCTAATGGTTAGAGGCATATCTGCACTTGAATTTTCCTTCATTCAATATCTATTATATCATCTACACAAATCTTTCACACAACCTAAATTCAAAAACTTCAAGGCAGAGATCCAATAATGTTTTCAAGATGAAATTATTACCTATTTTTAAAAATGGTCATCTTTAAAAAATATATAATTAAAAGTCATTAATTCTTTCAAATATTCGGAAATTTTTAAAAGAAATTAGAAGTTTAAACAAATTAGAAATACAAACCGAAATTTTATAAAGAACAAAATAAAATAATTTGCAAAACCTTCTTGTAAAATATATGCCAAGAAAATATAAAATATATTTTAAATGTTCTAAATAAAATAAGCACTGTTAAAAAAAAAAATGAGACAGTAATGCTTCAAAAAGTAATGACTTTTATTTTAAAAAAGATTATAATATCTTTAAAAAAGGAAAATAAAATAAAATAGAAGGTTGAAAAATAATAAAAGTAACTTTTGAAAAAAAAAAATAGTGTACAAGAAATTTTTCACTGTGATATAGCTTAGTGGAAAAGTAATTCCCCAAGTAGACCTGTATCCACTTTAATTATAGAACTAGACTATTTTACCATAGCATTCAAAATTCAACTGTCAGGTAATGAACTTTTGCACCATGTTTTTAGTTTTTATTTATTTTATATTTTTAAATAAATGATACTAATATTATTTAAAATTTTATATTTTTTAATGATGATATATTAATATTATTTTTAATGTTATTTTAAATTTTTATATTTCTTAATATAATATATTATATTAATAAATAACATTAAATAATTATATATAATATTAGAATATTATATTAATAATAGAAAATCTGAAAATTCAAAAAGTTTAAATATCATTAAAATTATTAATAATATTTGATAATATTATTTTAAAATTTAAATAACATTAAAAATAATATTAGTATCAATTATTTAAAGATATAAAATAAATAAAAACTAAAAAGATAGTGCAGAAAAAAAATGTGTGTTTGGACGTTGTTTTATTAAATGCTTTATTTACTATGAAGTTGTTTTAGGTCTGGAAACATGAAATAGTTACATGTTGTAGGGAATCTGGAGGATTTTTTGTCTTCTGGGAGCAGTTGTAGAGATAGTTGGGTTGGGTTCTTATTTATAGTAACTGTATAACGAAGGACTTAAATACAAACGGGCCCTGTGTAATTATCCACTGGTTAGAACTATTTGGTAACAAAATTATTTACATAATTAAATATATTTCTATGATCAACTTCCTAATTACAATAATTTAAAGCAAATAATAAATTTATTTTACAGATGAAGAAAAGAAGTATACATGATATTTAAAAAAAATCATAGTAATGTTATTTATTTATTTATTTTAACAAATCAAAGCATGTATTTAATTTTCTATTTAACATCTATATTAATATAACAATAAATAATAAATGTTTGCCATATTAACATTTTATCAATGTTTAATAAAATAAAACAAATTAAGGCAAATTACCATTTTAATTATTAAAAAGGATACATTTTTAAAAATTTAAAAATAAAGTCCAATATATAAACTATTTTAAAATAAAATAATTATGAAATTAATTAATAGAATGAAAACGTATAATGAATCTTATAAATAATATGTTTTGATATGCTCTTCAGTTTTATATACTGCTTACTATTCAAGATTAAGGATAGTTTATATATATCGTTTTTTATCTTAACCCACTAACCATAATATATTGAACATGAGAATTTATTTTAATAATATTATCTTCTTAAATATAAGATCAGAACTACCCGTAGAACCGATAATCGAGTCTCACTACTCATATATATACTCTTTATCCTAAAATGAAGATGTTCCGATACATTTATGAATAATCGAGACTATGAGTAGTTTATATATATACCATCAGATGAATAATCAAAACTATGGATAATTTATATATACAACCTTAGATAATATAATCGAGATTATGGACAGTCTATATATACATCCTCAGACGTAGAAATTGATAAACATGCATGAGACAAAAAAACTTTCATTCATATATAAAACATTAACGTATGTAATAAGACTAAGAATCGATTCTTGCTCTACTCTCGTACCCCTTAATAGACATGAGACCAAAAAACTTTTATTCATAAACAAAACATTGATGTCTTAACATCTATCGTAGGACGAAAGTTAAAGTCTCACTCTACTCTCATATCCCTTAAGAAAGATGTTTACTCCGATATAATCATAAATCTCACATTACTTAGAGATAAAAATTAGTTTAAATACATTCTATTTTTACCAAAATTTTAAGTTTTAGTCGGAAAACTTAAATACAACAATATACATGTTTTATTTCATTTTGAGTGTTGTTTTTATTTATATAAATTATATAAAAATAAAATTTTAATTTTAAATACACATTAATACAAAAATATCACACTCAATTTTATTTTAATCCTTTAAATAATGTTTATGTGTGAGAGATGTAAATAACTAAAAAATAATTTCAGTCATAAAAAAAATCATCTATATTAATATAGTTAACAAATTTTGTTACCAGAGAGACACATTATCCATGAGATATGGGTGGCAAAAGTTGTCGGCCAATGCTGTAGACGTACGCGTGGGACAAGCGTTGATTACGCCTCCAGTGCATTCTCTTCCCAGGCTTCAACACAAATATTCTCATTCATTCCAAGTTCCAACTAACAACTACAAAGCAAACTTACAATTATTTATTCATTTAGTTAAGCCAGCATTGTGTATTACATAATTTCAATAAATTTACATGTGTTTTGGATTTAATACTTGAGTAAAGAAAAAATTAGTAAAGAAAAAATATCTACAACAGTGATATTTAATTGTTGTGCTTTTATTAATTTCATAAGGAATGCTTTTAAGATATGAATGATATTGACATTTTGGTATAAATATTTTACAATAATAAAAGAAAGTAAGCTTTAAAGTTAAAAGAATAGGGAAGGAAGGAGGCTAACCTGCGTGATTTGCGGCATTAGGCTAAATCGCGCAGTAAACTTCGGTCCTTTAAGCTTTGACTTGAGGTTTGAGGATGCCCCGTATCTGCAAAATGCAATTCATTCAAGCCAAAACAAAACTGAGTCATCTTGGTTCCGCAAAAGCAAAGGGAGAAAGAAATGGAAGCAGAGCACCATCAAGAGACCTCAAATGGTATTGGAAGCCTCTACGTGAAGGTCATGACAGACGAACAAATGGAACTGCTGAGGCAACAGATATCTGTTTACGCCACCATTTGCGAACAGCTTGTTGAAATGCACAGAGCTGTAACTACCCAACAAGACCTCGCAGGTTTGTCTCAATAGCTTTTTATGCAAAATTAGCTTCTTGAACCTGTGATTATCATTCTTTCGCCCTCTTCTACTTATGTAGAAAACGAGGGTTTGTTTGGTTATATTTTTGGATGATGTGGGACTTAAATATATATAAAATTGTTATATTTTGAGTCAGGGCTGAGGCTGGGTAATTTGTACTGTGATCCGTTGATGGCGTGTTCTGGACACAAGATTACTGCGAGGCAGCGTTGGACTCCAACGCCTCTGCAGCTTCAAATTCTGGAGCGTATTTTTGATGAGGGAAATGGCACTCCAAGTAAGCAGAAGATCAAGGAGATAACCATTGACCTGGGCCAACATGGGCAAATATCAGAGACAAATGTTTATAACTGGTTCCAGAACAGAAGAGCTCGTTCAAAGCGGAAGCAACTCGCTCCCGCATCGAATGTTGTAGAGCCAGAAGCCGAGACAGAAGTTGAATCTCCAAGAGAGAAAAAAATACGTGCTGAAAGCGTTCAGATTATTCAACCCTTTGAGAATTCATCACCTCATAGGATCAAGGATATGTACATCCACAGTCCTGACTTAGGTATTATTAATCTTTCAATTAATATCTCAATAAACATTAAGAGCATAAAATAAATGAATTTTTTTCCATAAACTAGTTTTTAATTTGTAGATATTCATTCAATCAAAATTCTATTGATCTGTTCATGCAGGTTTTGAGCAATTGATGAGTAAAATAGAAGTTGCAGGCTGTTACAGCTCTTATTTTCTTTGAAGACTCAATTCTTGATTGCATTTTGGTGAACTCAACTATTATATTAGGGGCTTTCGTCCAAATATGTTGAAGAACCACACGTAATGTGGTATAACTATATATGTTGACATGCATATTGTATAAATTGTTTTGCTTTAGAGTTAACTGTTGATGAACAGTTACTGTGATTTGTTACAGTTTTACAATTTGGTGTTTCAACATTTTTAACTCAATTTAGTCTCTCATGGATCACTATGACTAATTTAGTTCCTCACTGATTATTATTTGCCACTATTTAATGCCTTATTAGCCACATGCTTGTTTTTTTATCAACCAATGATTCAATGAATGATTTCTTGAATCATGTTTTACCTAATAGCTATCCTGAAATGCTTATCAGTTTTCAAACCTTACGTGGTATCTGGATCCTAATAAACTCCTGCATCAAAATAGAACTGTGTTAGCAAGCAATTTGGCATATCTCCATGAAGTGAAAGACTTGCTTGCAACTAAAGATAATATCAGTATAGTGTATTTATACTGACAACCGGCAATAAGAGTTAATTATTCTTTCTGCATGGAATTACAATTTAGTCCTTACCAGTAATTGCTGGCAAAAAGAAATAAGAATATTCCGATGAGATAAGGCAATTCTGTCCAAGTTTATTTGTAAGTTTTTTACTCTAAACTAGAGGAGAACGAACACGAGGACTTGTTATAATTATTTTACAATTAAAGAAAATCATGTTACTTATAATTAGGTCATGTGGTTTTTTATTTTATTGATTTTTATTATTAACTAGTGATACAAATGAAAATGACAAATTTCTTATAATCTTCGTAGATGCCCTGAATTATAAATATCATTAGCTAAAAAAAGAGAATAAAGATCACTCATTTGTTAAAAAAAATAGCGGTAATAGAAATTTAAAAAAACTTCATAAATTAATATTAATACTTATCGAGGTATTAAGTAATATTTTTGAAAAGACTAAGTAGTTTTTTTTACTACTTTTTTTTTAATTTAGTTCATTATTATTTTTAAGTTTGATGTCACTTTTTGAAAAGTGAGTTTTATAATGTTAACTTGGTTAAATTATAATTTTATGAAAAGTGTTATATTATTTATTTGCATTCGATAACTTAAGATAATTTTTTAATATGATCAAATTGATTAACTGAAAAAATATATTTGATGTTAAAAATAATAATGAGACTAAATAAAAAAATTAAGAAATAACGAAAAAATTAACCTTTTATTAAAAACAGTAAAATAATTTTTTTTGTAGATAAATATATTTGTAATTCATGTAAAAATAATTATTTTTTAGTCTTTTTTTTTTTAAATAATATAGTGGTTAGAAGATGACGCATATTTAAACAATATACATGGCGTCATTTTTTAACGTTCATAAACCAAGTGAAAAAAAGTGAATAATCATCAATCTAATTAGACACATTGTTTAATTTATATATAAATCATAAGTAAAAAATATTTTATATATTTAGTAAAAATTATTTTTACATGATTGTATTACATTGGCAAATAAGATGATATAATAACATAATTATTTTTTATTAAATATTTGCGTAAGAGTTTTCCATTACAGATAATAATATATATAAATTCAAATTTTACTTAATTAAGATAAAAATTAATTATATTTGTCAAACTCAAATTATTACAATATATGTATTAAAAAAAGTTATTATATCATTATTTTTGTCTGTGTATTCAAAGAGACTATCAACTATAGTTAACAAATAGAGATAATAACAATAGTTTTTATATAAAAACAAATAATTATCAAAATATTGTAAGAAAGGGTAAAAATAATTTTATATTAGTATAGATTTATTAAATTTAAGTTATTATATTATCTCTCCTACAGATGTTATTTTATATTATTGTTATTATTATTTGAGTGTCTGAACGGAGAGATAATTAATTACTATACGTAGAAATAGATGCAAATGAAATTTGTATTCCTCCCTGTGGCCACATCCTGTGCTGCGGTCGTTGCAGTCGGAGAAGACAGCACATCTCAACCACCTCGCCGGGAACCATAATATAAGCATATCTCAATTTACTGTTTCGCCTTCCATTACTTCTTCCGAATCTGCCAATTCACACACAGAATAATCCGATTCCCTTTTCCCCGCAATTCCTCGATTCCACGAAACAAATCCCTAACCCACTCCAGGGCTTGCGATCTATTCTGCGGTCGAAGACGAAGGGAGTGCAATGGCGGGTCCTAACACGGATCAGTTTGAAGCGTTTTTCAGGAGAGCAGATTTGGATGGAGATGGCAGAATCAGTGGAGCTGAAGCCGTTTCTTTCTTCAAGGGATCCAATTTACCCAAACAAGTTCTCGCTCAGGTTTTATTCCATTCTCTACCAAATTTATAATCTAAACCAAACATTTCAAGTCACTACACTTAAATTAATCATTTCGGTATGTGTTTTTGTCTTGGAGGCGTAGGATTTTCATCATCGATGGTTTTTGTTTCGTGATTGTTCACTTAGAATAATTTATTTAGGTTTTCGTCGATTCTTCATTTCGCTTTTCCTTGGAAGAGTTAAATCGATCTAGATTATTCTTGTTAATGTTTCGTGTTCTCGGTGTGAGTTGCAGGTATGGGCGTATGCTGATCAGGCCAAAACTGGTTTTCTTGGGCGCGCAGAGTTTTTTAATGCTCTGAGGTTAGTTACTGTGGCACAGAGTAGGCGAGATTTGACGCCTGACATTGTGAAGGCAGCCTTGTATGGTCCTGCTGCTGCTAAAATCCCTGCGCCGCAGATTAATCTTGCTGCTGTACCTCAACCACGCCAGAGTTCGATTCCTGGTGCTGGGTCTGTTGGGCAGATGGGTGTTACCGCACCCAATTCGGCTCAAGGTTTTGCCTATAGAGGACAAGGGTTAGCAGGTCCTGGTGCAAACCCTCAATATTATCCTTTGCAGCAGAGTCCTGCCATGAGACCTCCTCAAGCCATGCCTTTTACTGGTGCTCCGCGTCCACAACAGGGTGTTGCTAGTGCAGATATTCCTAGAGGAGTTAACATGGGTGGTCACAATTTCTCAAATCCTGGCATATCGAATGATTGGAATAATGCTAAGATTGGTATGGTGGCTAATAGACCTGCAGGAATGAACCCGTCAGCGGTCTTACCAACGTCGCAATCTCCAGTTTCACCAATTCCCCAGTCATCTCCAGTCTCATTAATGCCCCAGTCATCTCCAGTCTCACCAATGCCCCAGTCATCTCCAGTCTCACCAATGCCCCAGTCATCTCCAGTCTCACCAATGCCCCAGTCAACAACTATTAACACTAAAGCCTTAGGTGTTTCTGGAAATGGATTCTCTTCCAATTCTGTTTTGGGCAATGATTTTTTCTCTGCTGCCACACCGAAACAAGAACCTGCTGGACACAGTTATTCTGTTACCAATGTCTCGTCAGCCATTGTTCCTGTTTCCACTGGTCCCCAACCTGCAAGTAAGCAAAATTCACTTGATTCATTGCAGAGTGCATTCTCATCAGTGTTGCCTTCAAATAGTCAATTTCAGCGGCCACAGCCTCCATCAAACACAAGCCAAATAATTTCACCACAAGCTTCTTCTTCTCCACAAACACCATCTGGAATGACAGTTGGGCTTGGAAATGCAAATTCTGACAACGTGCAGCTTTCTTGGCCAAAAATGAAACCTACTGATGTGCAGAAATATACAAAGGTATTTTTGGAAGTTGACACTGACAGGGATGGGAAGATCACTGGGGAGCAGGCTCGCAGTCTTTTTTTAAGCTGGAGATTACCAATAGGTAAACCTGTTTCCTTCTAACTGACCTTTTTTGATGTAATGTTTATTCATGTTTGTAAGTTGATGTGTTGGCTAGTCGAAATCATAACAAGAACCATAGTCACCTGAAAATTTTAGTTTTATCTTCTTAATTTCGGATTTTCTTTAGGGAGGGGAAGGGTGTGTGCCTTAATGTTTTTTTTTTGGTTGACAAGGATTTATCTACTGTGCAGTGATACTGGAATTTTATTGTTTTTTGTTAAGGTAAAATAAATTTGTTGATTATTTGAAAAAAAAATTGGAAGTCTTCATTAGCAAAAGAGGTATTCAATGTTCAAGTTTAACGATGACTAGTAGTAACTAATAGCAGACAGGTGCTTATTATAACTGTTCATCCCAATTAAGATCGAAGGTGGTGGGTCCGGTCATAATACTTAAGCATCCAAATAGAGCGTGTCTGTCGAAGCTTTAGTGAAGACATGTTTAGTCTGCAGGGCTTTGATGCATTTTATTGGATTGTACTTATTTTGAAGTTATATCACTTCGTTTTTTATTCTACATTATTTTATTTTCTCTCATTTGGAAAGAAGCTTTGGGATCACATGGCTTTGAATTAAGTGGAAATAAAACTGAGTAAATGGAATCCAAGTTCAGCAGAACACATTTGAACATGGGCTTGGAGGTGAAGATTTGTAGATTATACCATTCCAGGAATCACTTGGTTTAGATGTATTGATCAAACATGCTAGATGACACAAAGAGAGGAAATATATAGTGATAGGATTCAAATGGGGTTGGTGAATTGGAGAAATGCTTTAGCTATAATTTGTGATCAAATATGCCTTTCAAGCACATAAGATTTTTTTACTGACCAAACTTACCACTAAAAATGCTTTATGGTAGTGAATGGTGGGTGACGGATTGCTAAAGATGATTTGGCCATGTGATGGTAAGACTCATATAAGTCTCACTAAGAAGAGTTCATTAAATGGAGGATAGCAAAGTACGTACAAGTAGAGGAAGAACAAGGAAAACTATAAAGGAATGCATTAAAAAAAATGCCTAGTTTTAAATTACCTTCCTTAAAACTTGGTTTTTATTGTTATTTGTAATCATTCTTTGCATATGTAAAATACATTGATCATGGATCATTCAAGACAGATTTTTGAATTTTTTTTATTAACCAAATGTTTGTATGGAGATACACAAGGAAGTGAACATGGGTAAAATGCACTTTGAGTAATAAATCCTTTAACACTATTGATTAAATGCCAAAGAGAGTTCTTCTTGACCAAACAAAGTGAAACATTAATGCACAGCTAACTACTATGACTATTACTTCTTATACTGGAGATGCAATTTTTTATCTCACCAAAATATCTGAAATTACTGTAATCTGGTTAACAAATACATCCTAAGTGGGTTTCTTTTAAAAGCTTTTTCTGGAATGAAACAATTTCACTATAAAGGAATAAATTAGAAGCTGAAATTTTTTTTATTAGAAAACACATCTGAAGATTTATAGTTGAAGTTCTTGTATATTAGTCGCAGTGCGTAGAAACAAGTGAAAGGACTCTAATTCACTTACTCATATCACTTAGATTCCTATTACTGCGAATGGTTCAAGAGGTATGACTGATTAATTTTTGGTGGGAAAACTATGCATACAAGAGTGACATCTAAGCAAGGAAAAACATCTAAGAAATAAATATTCCCACTGTTAACTATTATGAAATAATTTTCTTATAATTCATTTATTTATCTTTTTTCCACTCACTTTTCCATTCATCAAAGAACATAAATTTTCTATTTTATTTCTCCTTTATTTCTATCATTATCCCTTCCTATTTCTTTCCTCTCTATTTTCTCCTCATCCAAACTAAGAATAAGGTAAAGCTTAATTCTCAAATGATATAATAACATAAAACAAGATAAAATACATTTTCCTTTACATCCTCCTCCTACTTATTTATCTCTCGGATGCCATCTAATTGACAAACCCTTCTACTCACTAGCCACATTCCCAACTAACTCCTAACGGTATTACCCTCTTGAAATCAAGCGTTGTTGACTAAGTAGGAAATTTGGAAGTAAAAATTGAACACAGACTCCCCATTAGCTATCATCCTCCTATTTATATACCTCTTAGATTTCCTCCAATTAACTAAAATAATCTGTCATAGCTGACTTCCTTACATGATCAGACTGCCTGATTCTTTACTATGCATGCTAACTGTCGTATTTATTCAATTCTCAAATGATACTAAGCACACTATACAGATAAGATGATGTTACTAGATTTGTTTTTTCAGTCTGTTTTTTGGACTCTTTCTTAGCTTCACTATTTTGGAAATTTTCTTCAAAAGGCAGTAAGTCTTGGGATGACCTTTCTATCATTATCCGATAGCAATTACGTAATCTGTGGACTTTGTGCAGAGGTCTTGAAGAAGGTGTGGGACTTGTCTGATCAGGACAATGATAGCATGCTTTCTTTGAAGGAATTTTGCTTTGCTCTTTATTTGATGGAACGGTATAGGGAAGGTCGCCCTCTACCACAGTCTCTTCCAAGCAATGTTATCTTTGATGAGACACTGATGTCTATGACAGGCCAACCAAAAAATGCTTACGGAAATGCAGCCTGGGGTATCAGCCAAGGTATTTTCCCTCATATACTCTATCTCCAACTTTCTTTTTCTTTTCTCTTATTTTCCCTCATGTATGAGACACTGATGTTTATGAATTCTTTTACTTTTATCTATCTCAAGGTTTTCAGCAGCAACAAGGGATGCCAGGTGCTCGGCCAGTGGCACCAACAGCTGGTTTGCGGCCACCAGTGCATGGAATTTCTGCTCGCGCTGATGGCATTACACAGCCCAATCAGAAAATGTCAGGAACACCTGTGTTGGAGGATTCCTTTCTGAACCCCATAGATAATGGTGAGCAGAATATATTGAACTCAAAGCCTCAAGATGCAACAAGCGCAGAGAAAAAGGTAGTTGCTATGCCTTTGTAATTTTTGTCCATGTATAAAAATATATTTATCATGAAGGTTATTAATTATGTTTTTTGTTGATTTTTTTGTTTTCTGTTTACATTAAGAAAGGGGATTTATTCTCCTATTCATTTGTAGTTATCATCCCTTCATCTTAATGTATTTATTTTTTTGTGGAAGTTCCATTTTTATAGAAATTAGAAATTTAAAACTCATCCTAAAGCGTGAGGTGAATAGACACCTTCGAAATTATGAGGCTTTTCTTCCCCAACTAAATACATTAAATAATTGTATAAATTGCACCCTCCTATAAAACAACTGTTTCCCTGTTTCCGCAAAAATCTTGTTCCTGTAGAAAGGACAAGCAAAAATATCAGTCTCTCAGTGCTTGTTTAGTGGGAGGGCCCAAGTTAGTTTTTAGTCTTATGTTGCTGAGAATACTTGAGTAACCCAAAATTAATTCCTCATATTCTGTAATATTTTCAACAGATCTATTTATTTGTAAATGGTCTGGGTTTTCTTGCAGATTTTGAGAAATTATAAATAAAAAATGTTATCTCTCTGCTTTTGTAGTCTGATGAAGCTCAGAATGTGATTTTGGATTCAAAAGAGAAGATCGAGCTTTACCGGAACAAAATGCAGGAATTGGTCTGTAATTCATATCTTGTTTCTTTTATGTTTTGATCTTAGATTGATGTTTATTGCTTAAGGCTTAGAATGGTTGAAATAAACTATTTGTTGGCATGCTAGGCCATACTGCTGGTGGCTCACTTTAAAGTACACTTGTGTTTGTATTAATGGAGTTATTACATGACAGTGGTTAAAAATAAGTTTATTAATAATCTTTGACCTGAAGTTATGTGAATAATTATTACATGTTTAGTTTTTGCTTGGTTTTTGCAGAAAATAACTTTTAAGCTAAATAGTTCTCTTCTAAGCTAAAGAACTATGGATCATGCACTTACTCACTCCCTATTCCCCCTATGTTTACTTGTATTTCAGGTTCTATATAAAAGCAGATGTGATAATCGATTAAATGAGATTACAGAAAGGGCATCTGCGGATAAGCGTGAGGTATATTCCTTTTTTTCTGAAAACGTGACGCAAGTTTATGTGAAAAGAATTAGCTATTATTTGGTGGCGTGTTACAGGCAGAATCATTGGGCAAGAAATATGCAGAGAAATATAAACAAGTAGCAGAAATAGCATCAAAATTGACTGTTGAAGAAGCTAAATTTCGTGATATACAGGTAATTAGAAAATCTAAATTGTTGAAAAATAGGCTATTTGTAAAAGGTGATAGCTATTGATTATTTAATATGCACTGAATTGATTGTTATTATGTTAATGTGAAGGATCAACTACTAAAAGTTTAAGTTGTTGGGCTAAAGCTTAAGAGTGGTTTTATATCTAAAAGCAGTCCCCTCCTGCAAGATCCATTTGGGCTTGAAGCATGCATATAGGCCCGATTCAACTTATTTTTCAGCCTAAAGAAAAAATTGAGATGAGGCCTTTCTAAAATAATGATAATAATTTTGACAAAAAATTAATAACAATATTTTATCAAAATGATTATATTTTTATTGAAAGAGTATTTTTTGAAATGGGATGCAAAATCATTTATTAATTATTATGACAAATAAGGGATGATAGTTTTCACTTTTATGAATTAAATGATTACATATACAAAATTGGATTCTACACGAAAGTTAAAAGGTTAACATTGGAAACAATTTTAAAATTAATAATGTTACAAGTTCACATAAACTAAACTGAACAAATATTATGTTGACAATACTACCAGCCCTAAAGCTTTCTATTGTATCCTTGTAGGATGAAGCTTTTACCGTATTGATTTTTTATTCCATAGAAAAAGTTTAGAAGATTAGAGATCATAACACTATTCTCCAAAGAATGGACTCACTTTAGAAAGTAAAATGAAATTTATTGTCATTAATTAAAATTTAACCATTAAAATTTATATAATTACATAATTTATTATGTATGTGGATGGATTTAATTATAACTATTGTCAATTCAACCCTTTTAGAGGTATTTTTCTGTTAAAAAAGTATTGCTAACTCTTAATGAACTAGTATCATTTGTAAAGTAATTATTATTTTCTTAAAATATTATTACTAAGTTAAATTGTTTTTGGTATGCTTAAATCAAGGGCTTCGTGGCCGGCAGGCCCTGCATGAGTAACATGCAAACACACTTTACAATGGATTTGAAAAGGATCAAACTCATGACAACTTGGCCATGCAAGCTCTAATACCATATTCAATACCAACTCTTTTAAAACCTTAAATTGTAAAGTAATGCTCATGAATGGTTTTATATCTTGAAGAGATCTTTGTTTTGCTTATCAAGTTTGGATGCAGGCCTGTTGTTCCTTGAACCACTTAAATTTTGTGTCTGTTTCTCTTTCTCCTATTGTTTATTTGCATGTTCAGAGAGTGAAGTTCACCACTTCTTGAAGGAGAGTATAAATGAAAATGAACGCGAGGCCCTGAGGAAGCATATAGTCTTACATGCTTATTATATCTATAGGGGATAAATTTGTTTATAGTCCCACTCAACCATAAAACTACAAGTTCTTATTCATTATCAAGTCTACAACCTTTTTCACCTTCCCTGCTTAAGCCTGTGTCTTAGGTGGATTACAAATGTCTTGAAAGTTGAAACATTTCAAATTCCAACATCTTTAATCATTACTCTGTACATATTTAGGAAAGGAAGGTCGAGTTACAGCAAGCAATTGTCAAAATGGAGCAAGGAGGCAGTGCAGATGGCATTCTTCAGGTGATTTTTTTTTTATTGAATAAAGATGGGGAGTCCTGGGGAAACTTGTTTTGTACCATTACTGATGTTTAGAAAATTTTGTAGGTCCGTGCTGAACGCATACAGTCAGATCTTGAGGAGTTATTTAAGGCTCTAGCTGAACGGTGCAAGAAACATGGGATAGATGTGAAGTCAATTACAATGGTTCAGCTTCCTGCTGGTAATTATAATCTCATTTGGTCTCATTATGGCTTCTTTCTCAGTCAATTATTTCTGTTATTTGTCAATTCTCAAAGAATCACTCTGCAACAACAATTTTATGATTTATTTTCACTTTTTTACTCAATGTATGTGATTCTTTATATTAATACTTCTGTGGAAACTTCTTTTTGTAATTTGGAGTCCTGTATTTTTCTAAGGATCTTCTATTAAAAAAGGAAGGGCATTGCTTATCAAATGACTGATAAATTACTTATATTTGTTACAAGTGAATGCATTTCTCTCTGTTCCTATCTTTAATGTGGTTGTGTTTGTGTACGTGTATGAACCTAATGAATTACAAGGTTGGCAACCTGGAGTTTCTGAGGGAGCTGCCCTTTGGGATGAAGATTGGGATAAATTTGAGGATGAAGGTAGCCATAATTTTTTTTTATCCTAACATTTATTTTCATATGTTTTTCATGAATTAACTTGTTTTATTAATTGCTTTGTTTACTTCCAGGATTTGCCAATGATCTTACTTTCGGCACAAAAAATACACCTTCAAAACCCAAGCCTGCATTTGTTGACGCAGAACAAAATTTCTCTGATGATAATTTTATTAATGGTTCACCTGTGAATGCAAATGGGAAGCAAGAAAATTCTGCTAATGGTGATTATACAGTTGAGGATGAATCCTATGCACACAGTGAAGAAGACTTGGCCAGAAGCCACCATGATAGTTTAGCTAGGAGGAGTACCGTGGAGAGTCCTTCTCAAGACTTCGTAAATGCTCACTTTGGAAAAGGTTCTGAAGCAGATGCAGAAACACATAGGTAACCTGTTTTATTTTTGTCTCGAGGGTGTGTTTAGGCTAGGGTTTGATCTGTCAATTCCCATTTTTTCTGTTTCTGCAATGCATGGCTTTGACTATGTGGCATCTAGTAATTGTTTGTGATGCTATTAATCTATGGTAACAGAAGTTTTGATGAATCGACCTGGCGTGCATTTGACAGCAATGATGACGTGGACTCAGTGTGGGGTTTGAACACTAAGACCAAGGTAACCTTTCTATACATAGCTTTTAATTTTGTGCTGTTCTGAATACTATCCTTATTAGTCGCAGTTATTGAGTAATAATTGTTATCGAGTAAATTCTTCTAAGATTATTTCTATACTGATTTGATGTATAAGATGTGGACAATGGAGGTCTTTCTTTCCTTATAATTTTTGGAATGGATTTCCTAGCACATTTATAAAAGAACTGAAGAAGGGATGTCATTTTACAAAGACCAAGTTGCTTTGTTATAAGCCTACTACATTCTAAAATTGTAATGTTTGGTTTTGTAGGACTCCGACTTCGAGCAGGGAGATTTCTTCAAATCTGATGATTTTGGTCTAAATCCAGTAAGAATAGGATCTACACATACGGATGGCACGTTCCAGACAAAAAGTCCATTTGTTTTTGATGATTCAGTACCTGCAACTCCAGTTTCCAAGTTTGAAAACTCTCCCAGGTACAGTGAGGCGGGGGATCATTTCTTTGAAATGTCGAGGTTTGATTCCTTCAGGCACGAAGGTGGATATTCTCCACAACCAGAGACGCTTACGAGATTTGATTCCATAAGTAGCAGCAAGGATTTTGGCTATGGTAACGATAAATTCACAAGGTTTGATTCCATAAGTAGCAGCAAAGATTTTGGCTACAGTAATGATAATAAATTCACAAGGTTTGACTCCATAAGTAGCAGCAGGGATTTTGGCTACAATCCTGAGAAGCTCACAAGGGTTGATTCCATGAATAGCAGCAATGATTTCGGTTTCGGTCGTCAGGGGCATGCAAGGTTTGATTCAATTAGTAGCACCAAGGATTTCGGTCACAGTGGTGCATTCTCTTTCGATGACTCTGATCCATTCGGCTCCTCTGGCCCGTTTAAGGTCTCTTCAGAACATCATTCTCCGAAAAAAGGTTCAGATAACTGGAGTGCATTCTAGCCTGCAAGCCAACTCTTCCCTGGTTTTCTTTGATGTTTCTATTTCCTTGATTGTTCATGATAGCCTATTTTTTTTTGTGTATAGCTGGAAGAAAAGCTAGACGATAATATTATATGGTGTGACCAATGTATCAGTTTGAAGAGAGTTTTTCCTTCTTTTTTTTTTTTTTTTTTTTTTTTCTTTTGGTATTGCGCGGACGTGTGTGAAAGATGGATAGATAAAATTAAATGTCTTGATGTGTATCATGTATGTACTACGGAGTTTAGTGGCAAGTGCATGCAAAGTTTTTTTCTTGTTTTCATTACATGCATTAACGTATGTGCTGCGTTCCAATGACATTTTTCATTGCTTGTCATTTAACTATCATCACATGCAACAAACTAACAACGAGCACATTGCTCGGTCCTTATCAGTCTTTGTTCCCGTGCATTTGGTTTGAAAATGTAAATAGATAATCGTATTCAAAAAAATTAAAAATGCGTGACTAAAATGACAATATTAATATATATTTAAAGATTAAAATAGAAGTAACATGGGTATTTTTAATTCTTAAATATTAATGTGATAAATATCCACCCGTTTAGAAAATAATAAAGTGGCTGTTTGCTCGGTCGTATGTTTGTTTTCAAGATTATCCTAATGTTCACTTTAAATTACAAGGTATAAAGAAAAAAATTGCATTATGCTTAATACTTGGGATCCCCGTGAGTGGTGAAAACAAAGCGATATTTGATGAAGATTCGACGCCACAGTACTTCAATCTTGTGGCTGAACATTCTCATCCTCTAACTTGCTATTTTCATGTTCTGTGTACCTATTATAGGGTGAAGTGAAATAATAGTTCACATCTTAAAGCAGAGGTTCCATTTAACACAAAGAACATAAAGTAATGAACCTTTGATTTTACCATCATATCTCCAGCTGATATGGTAGTTGTTTTCTCCCATTCCAGAACCTTCATGCTCTTCTTCTTTCATGCAATGCAAAGTAATCACGTTTCTATTCTATTCTGACGTAAGCCACTTCGTCACTCTACTACTCCAATGCATAATTCCTCTCCTAACATTTTTCGCAATTATCTTTTTTTACTATTATAAATTTATTATATCCTCGTTTTTCTTGAAAACTTTTTTAAATCCTGCATCTACAACAAAATATATAGCCTTAATAGAATAAAGGTAATATGTTTTCAAAAATATTTTTTCTTTAATTTAAACCTTCATAGCTAAAGGAAAATTCCTTGTCTTGCTTCCCCCCGAAACCTCGTAGAAGAAAAAAAAAGTGTATGTTCTTCATCAGTTGTCTGGTCAGGAGGAGAGGGAAACATGGTGTTTATTTGGTAAGTTATTTGAGCTAATTTGAAAAATATTTCACTGGTAAAAGTTTACTTGACTAAAATTAATTGCTTTCAGCTTTCGGCTAAATTTTTTTTATTTTTAATATTATTATACATAGTAATATTCTTTCTTCCAATATTGAAAGGAAATGAATATAACAGGAAAATGATTTTAACCCTTTTAGTTTTTTTTCCCTCTCCCACCCAAAGACGATGTTAATTATATTTGACAAGGTTATTAGATATTAATAAGTGACTTAAATAAGTTATTACAGGTAAAAGTAAAATAAATAAATGTCAGCAACACGCGCAAAAGTAAATAGCAACTGGAGGTGTTTAATTACCACACGCACATTAAAGTCTTTCAATTTGTATTTTTGAAAACGAACAATAAATATCTTACTCTAGAATAATAGTTTATTGGCAAAAGGTCATAAATGGATTTATATTGATGGATCAATATTGGATATTTTTTTTAGCTACATTATTTATTTATTCAACAAACAATATCGACTTTTCATATCAATTTCTTCTGAATTAAATCTAAACTTAAACACAACAAGTAATATTTAAAACCCTGTACCTAAATTGTCTCGGTTATTATTTTATTAGGACATTATATGAGCCAACCTGTATTTTTGGATGGCCCTGGTGGATGATAGCTCCATCTCCTCTCTTTCCATTTGTCTCACTTCATGACTATTACAATCCAGTCAACCTTCTATCTCTCTCTCTCTCTCCCTCATCTTCTATTTTTCTAAAAACATCTTTTTTATTTTTGTTTTCTTTTCCCTTTTTATTAATTCTTTCTTTTCTCAAGTTTTTTCAACCTCTGCTTCGTTATTTTTGGTGTTTCTCTTATACTCCCTCGACCTCAACTCAACGACCTCTCTCTCCTCCGCCTTCTGCAATTCCAACTCTTTACCATGCCACAACTCCAATTACGCTGCCCCATCAACTCTCTTTCAAGGGTTTCTCTTCAATTCTCAAACTAAATACTAAAAGTAGGTTTTTTCTGGTTCTCTGCTTCTCTCAACTGGATTGCAGGTACCCTTCTTGTTGTTTGTTAGATCACTGTGCGTTTTTGAATTGTGACTATCTGTTCGTTTTTTTTTGTCTGTGGTCGTTCTTCATCGCCGAGCAGCGGTTACTCTCTGCTCTGCAAAGAGTTTCTGTTTTTGTTTGTGTATTAATTACTTAAAACACCTTCCGTTTCTGTTTAATGGAGGTTCGGTTGAAGTAATTTGCATCATCCTGTTCTAAATTAAGGGACTATGCAATTCTAGGAGATCCGTGTGTTATGTTTCTTAGTTGTTGATATTGGGTCATTATTGTAATTAACTTCCGACACAACTGGTTTATGTTTCTATTTGAGTTGCTCATGCTTTTCTGGCATTGCTTGAAGATGAGATAAAATATAAAGAATTTAGTTTTCATGCATAGTCACTTAATAATGTCAATCAATTGGAAATCATTATAAGTATTACTTTTGGAAGTAGTCATTATAGAAGTTGACAAAGTTAACCTACAGTCAGATAATGTAAAAAACCTTTATACTGTCGGGGCTGAAAAATATAACTCTATATGAATGCCACACATTTACAGTGAATTTATTCGATCTTGAAATTGTTGCAAGTTTCTTGGTGTTTCCTTAACCTTGTGTTCTTTGTGACAATAGATTAGTGGGTATATAATGGCTTCGAGTTGGGATGGAAGTAATGACCCTGGCAGCCAGTCGGATGATAGCTATCATTTTGAGAGGTTGCACATTGAGCCTCTTTATGATGCTTTTGTGTGTCCGCTGACGAAACAAGTTATGCGTGATCCTGTTACTTTAGAAAATGGACAGACTTTTGAACGAGAAGCAATTGAAAAATGGTTCAAGGAGTGTAGGGAGAGTGGACGGAGACTGGTTTGCCCTTTGACTCTTCAGGAGTTAAGAAGCACAGAACTGAATCCAAGTATGGCTTTGAGAAACACCATTGAAGAGTGGACTGCCAGGAATGAAGCTGCGCAGCTGGATATGGCTCGCCGGTCATTGAATATGGGGAGTCCAGAAAATGAAACTCTTCAGGCCTTAAAGTATATCCAGTACATCTGCAAAAGAAGTCGATCAAACAAACACACAGTCCGCAATACAGGGCTTATACCGATTATTGTTGACATGCTGAAGTCTAGCACTCGTAAGGTTCGTTGTAGAGCTCTGGAAACACTTAGAGTCGTGGTAGAGGAAGATGATGAGAATAAGGTTTGGCATAGTTTGATGGTTATCATTTCATTTCATTCCTTTCTGTTTTTTTGGTATCACAAATGTACTTTTGGAAAATTGTTGTTAACCTATGCTCTTGGCTCCAAAGGAATTATTGGCTGAAGGGGATACTGTGCGTACCGTGGTAAAATTCCTTTCGCATGAGCTTTCTAAAGAAAGAGAGGAGGCTGTCTCCTTGCTTTACGAACTCTCAAAGTCTGCTACCCTTTGTGAGAAGATTGGTTCAGTCAATGGAGCCATTCTAATATTAGTAGGGATGACAAGCAGCAAATCAGAAGATCTTCTAACTGTTGAGAAGGCTGATAAAACATTAGAGAATCTGGAGAAGTGTGAGGCTAATGTGCGGCAGATGGCTGAATGTGGTAAATTGCAGCCTCTTCTGACCCAGCTTCTTGAAGGTAATAATGATCTATAATATATATCACACCATACTCATGTTGTGCACCTAATTTGCTCACCATTTTTATAGACATTTTCTAGAGAGCATACTTTGCTAGACCAGCGTATTACACATTTTCTTGTAAACATGGTGTGCATGTGTTTTCTTTCGTATTTTTTTGGAATTATTGAAGGGTAAATACAGAAAATATATTTCTTGTATGGACATCTCAAGAATCTCATAAAATGAACATTTAGAACTTTCAAAACTGTTTGGCTTGCCATTGATGCAGATAGGGACTCAGGTGGGTGTTATTGAGTACTACAGCATGCTCGGTAGTGTATTTAAGTGCTTGGTTCTCCACTTCTTAACAACTAACTTTTAAGGATGGGTTCCCAAAGTGTTTGGTACTTGTCATATTCATATCATGTGGTGAATCGCAACAACTTTGAATCTCATGATATATGGATGAAATGAAACAATACAATTTCATATCACCAAGGCATTCGGCAATTTGTATTGTTTATTTTATTTTTTTCTTGCAACATTTAACTCTTTGTTACATTTTATTTTCTAGCATGAGTCTTCTTAAAAGAGGATGATTGTGTTAGACAGTAATCAGGCAACGTCAAACTTTCTTGAATCTTCTTGATGTGGAACTAAAAGAGCACTATTAAACACATCTAATTTTAATTATTAAGATTTCAGAAGCTTTATTTTCATTCTTCTGAAAAAAGGTTTCAACCGTCACTCACCTGTTCAATGGCGATGCGGAGTAGTGGAGTAGCCCTAGTGAACCAAGTAGCACCGTTATAGTAGAGCTATATTCCAAAAATCCCTCTGAATAGAGATGTTATTGTTTTTTTCGAGGGTTTTTTTTTGGGGTTTTAATTTCCAAAATTGAAATCTATAGACTACATAATTGTGAAAATGATAAAGACTTGAATTTACAAGATGATGATTGATAATTCCTGTCTAAGAAACTTGTATTTGACTATTTACTTGCATGTTTTGTTCAAGACACCTACTATTTTTATTTTTAATTGTGAATGTTGTTAATTTTGAGTAATTTTTATCATTTTTTTAGAATTTTATTACAATTTATATAAACTAAAAATATCGAAATATTGACTATACGTGTCACTATAAGGTTTTGGAGTTAGCTGCTATCCAGGAGTAAAAAAATTGCATTGAACACTATACAACATTTATATGACATCTTTGAACCTATTTTTCATTGTGTCTTTGAATCTTAGGATTTGATACAGCTTACTTTTCATGATTGAAAACTTATCATGATTTATGATTTGAATTGCAATACAACAAGTTGCCTCAACTCGAGTGTTGTTTATTGTGAAAAATGTTTCAAACAAGCTTCCAACCGAAGATTGATATCACTTATGATTTTATGTACTTGTTATTTTTCTTCTATGGCTGATTTGGAATAGCTTCCATCAAAATATTTTCTGTTGTGAACTTTTTTTTTATTGAAAGTGATACATCTCATCTTATAATTTTTTTCTTTAAAATGTTTGCAGGTCCACCAGAAACCAAACTCTCCATGGCTGCATACCTTGGTGAGCTGGTTTTAAACAATGATGTTAAAGTTCTTGTTGCTGGAACTGTGGGTTCATCTCTGATCAATATAATGAAAAGTGGTAATATGCAATCAAGAGAAGCAGCACTGAGGGCACTAAATCAGATATCATCATGTGAACCAAGTGCAAAGATATTAATAGAGGCTGGAATACTTTCTCCTCTTGTTAATGACCTTTTTGCAGTGGGTCCTAATCTGCTTCCTACACGATTGAAGGAGATCTCTGCTACAATTCTTGCCAGTGTCGTAAACTCGGGAGAAGACTTCTATTCCATTCCATTTGGACCTGATCACCAAACCCTGGTCTCAGAGGATATAGTTCGTAATCTCCTCCATCTTATAAGTAACACTGGTCCAGCCATAGAGTGCAAACTTCTACAAGTTCTTGTTGGACTTACTACTTCTCCAACTACAGTTCTGAGCGTTGTGTCTGCTATTAAAAGTTCTGGTGCCACCATCAGTCTAGTTCAGTTCATTGAAGCGCCACAGAAGGATCTGCGTGTAGCTTCCATAAAACTTCTTCAGAATTTGTCTCCTCATATGGGTCAGGAACTAGCTCATGCACTACGTGGCTCAGTTGGACAGCTTGGAAGTCTAATTAAAGTGATATCAGAAAATACAGGGATCACTGAAGAGCAGGCTGCAGCGGTTGGCCTCTTAGCCGATCTACCTGAATGGGACTTGGGCCTCACGAGACAGCTACTAGACGAAGGTGCCTTTGTGATGGTCATATCCAGGGTGCTTGCCATCAGGCAGGGAGAGATCAGAGGCAATCGCTTCATGACACCATTTCTTGAAGGGCTTGTAAAGATTGTTGCAAGGGTTACATATGTCTTGGCTGAAGAGCCTGATGCCATTGCACTCTGCCGTGATCACAATCTTGCTGCACTCTTTATTGACCTGCTTCAGTCCAATGGACTTGATAATGTGCAGATGGTTTCTGCCACAGCTCTGGAGAATCTATCCCGAGAGTCAAAAAACTTAACCAGATTACCGGAGGTGCCATTGCCGGGCTTTTGTGCTTCAGTCTTTTCATGCTTCAGCAAGCAGCCGGTGATAAGTGGATTGTGTAGGCTCCACAGGGGGATATGTTCTTTGAAAGAAACATTTTGTCTGTACGAAGGGCAGGCAGTGCTTAAGTTAGTAGGTCTACTGGACCACACAAATGTGAATGTGGTTGAGGCAGCACTGGCAGCTTTGTCCACTTTAATAGATGATGGAGTAGATATTGAGCAAGGGGTGGCGATTTTGTGTGAAGCAGAGGGAGTGAAGCCAATACTTGATGTGCTGCTTGAGAAAAGAACAGAAACATTGAGGAGGAGAGCAGTTTGGGCAGTGGAGAGACTATTGAGAACAGATGACATAGCCTGTGAAGTTTCTTCAGACCAAAACTTGAGCACTGCACTTGTGGATGCTTTCCAGCATGGTGACTATCGAACTAGGCAGACAGCTGAGCGTGCTCTCAAGCATGTTGATAAGATACCAAACTTCTCAGGAATCTTTCCAAACGTAGCATGAAATTATCACAAAATTTGTATGTAATTTATGTTGTGCCTAGCAGTTTTGGATTGTATCTATGGTTACCCTTTACTATATATGCATTTATCCAACTGCAGTTGGGGATTGTTGTATACACCTACGTTCTCCATTCTTTTATGAGCTCTTCATTTGTTGCTCCTTATTCTCTCCCTTTTTCACCTTTACATCCTACTTTTCTTCTCGTACATGCACCATCTCTTCACTAACATGTCATTTTTTGCCACATTATATTAATCATCGTTTGATAATTTTATATAATTCAAACTTAAAATAATGCCTTTTATACAGCTGTGATAATATTGCAAGTAATTTTTTGAATAAAATAAATATTTGCCTTTTTCCAAATTATTTTTTCTTTCAAAACTATCCGATATCCAATATAAAAATAAGATGTAAAAGTAGCCAATAGGTTATAATAAATAATTTTTCATATGTTAAATAAACCGTTTGAAGTTCGTGTTATGAAAAAAGTCGTGACAAATTTTAATACAAAACTTACTAATATTAGTTAAAAAATAAAATCTTTAAATAAATTTTATAAAGAAAAAATTATTTACTCGAATCACAGGAAAATATTAATCCCTTAATTTTGGTTTGAAAGTTCTCTAATCGACGTTACTTATAAAGCCCTTTTTTCATGAATGTTTATTATAATAGTAAGATAACTTGTCTTCTATCCTCCTTGTAGGAAAAAACACTAAAATCATGGCCGAATTGGAAATAGAGGTAGACAGTGCGTGATTATTTTTCAAGGAAATATAAATTTGTTAGAATTATGGACATTTAGTACTTTATTTATAATAAATAATTATCCCGACCTCCTTTGATTTTGCTGTAATTATATTTTAAATATTAACACTATTTAACAAAATATATATACATATTCTTCCTCTATACGGTCAAACAAAACTATACACATAATACCCTCTTCTAGCAACATAATAATACACAAAATAAATTTTAGTAAGTCATTTAAAGGGTCTCCTAATTATGTAATTTTTTAACTTGTAATAAAATTAGCATTAAAAAGAACATGTTATGGATAATGTTGCTACAGAGTAGCACTCCTCCGACCTAAAAACTTAAAAAAAAAAAAAAAAAAAAAGCGTAGTAAGAGTGTAAGAGAAATTTCGAAAATTAGTAGAATTGAAGTGCAATTACATCAATTTCAGGAAAAAACTGTATAATTTATTCCTACTTGAAAATATAATGCATCTGCAGTTCTGAATTATCAGTTTTATTAGATCGTAAATGTAGTTATATTACTTTTTCAATATCATATGAAGCAGACATTCTTTCTAATAGGTATTCTTCTATACTATTATTAAGATTGACCTCAAAAAAAAGTACTGTATTATTCCTACTTGAAAATAGTATGCAAAATGTACACATTGCTAAAATGATTTTTTGTTTGTATTCTGCACTTAGCTCTTAATGTTTCGAACTTGTCTAGTCATTGTCCACGCGCACAATAGAAGGTGACAGAAACATCTCAGATCGCATCGCCAAGTAGTAAAAAGCTGGATTTTGGTCTTTTAATTCTAACAAGAATAAGAAACTTAACAAGGTAAAATGAACCATTTTATGTGGGTAAAGGATAAACAAGACTAAACTCGACATTTTTAACTAGAAAGAACATATTTGGTACTCAAGCCGAAAATATTCATATGCAAAATGTATTAGTGGGGCTTGTCAGAACAGAAAAACAGGTTTCTAAATTGTCATGTTTTTGGAACGATTGGCTGACATATGAGAACATTCTTTCTAGCTTGCGTTTTCATGAGAATTTCAGTAATAGAAGTAGATGCAGAGATTCACAAGAAAATCTCGAGCAACTTTTCCGGCAAACATAGGCATGGATAGATTTAAGGGTGCAACAATGGCCCTAATATCACACATTATATACTAGTTTTCATCATTAAGCCAATTCCCTGCCCCTGGGATTATGTCTTCTTTAGAATTGAGACAATGTAACTTGGAGCGCACATAAGTATATATAGACATATGCCAAAGTCACAAGGAGGCTGATTAGTGCAACTAGTTATAACACAACCATAATTCCAGAAACTCGATGGATAGGAGAAATAATACAAGTGCAAAGTCAGTGTGGAATTCAACTTTTATGATTGGTGAGAAATGAATTAAATAAAAGGGTACATGAGAAGCCCAGAAACTGAGAATCAAGGAGTTCAGAAGATTTGCCCATATACAATTATATGCAGCAAATATAGAGCAGGACTTACCGGTCATGCTGCATCTCAAAACAGAGAGGGAAGATCTAAGAATCTGTTTTTATCATCATACATGCACAAAGGATTTCAAAGGTGTAACACTGCCACAGATTTGGTCAAGCAGGAAGAACCATCGAGCTCATGAGTAACATGGTTCCCTGAAATATGGTTCCAGTTTCCGATATCAGATACATCACAAACAGTGAAAAAACTTAACACCCGACCAAATATTTTGAACATCTCTACCCCAAAAATGAGGTTTTTATCCGACAGAAAAACAGCACTCCAGTCCATTGGTGCATCAGGATGCACTGAGGCTTCAGTCCAGGTAAGATACGTGAGATCAAACTCCCATAGTTTTCTAACAGCCTTGTTTCGTTGCCCGATTTGACCATCCCCTTCACACCAGGACACACAGAGCATGAAAAGGCGGCCATTAGAAGATACAAGTATGGGGTAGTATTCATGTACACGGGGCGGGATTGGAGTGGCTTGAATTGCAATCCAGAAACCTCGTTCTACGTCATACGCTGCAAGCTTGTCTGTTTCAGAATAAACATAAAACATCCTGCCACAAACAATTCCAGAACGAGCAACCCCAAAATCAAAAGGTAATCTTGGGATTTCGGTCCATTTATTTGACACAGAATCATAGATTTCTCCAGAGTCCAGAGGCTCATCCCAAGATCCCAGACCTCCTACGGCTATCAACAAGAATCTTTTACTGCCCTTTGAGCTTGAATGATCACTTTTTTGTCTAAGGAATTTGTATGCCTTCCGACTGGGCAAAGACGAAGCTTCCGTCTCATTAAAAGAAGATCTGCAATGACGTCTCAATGAAAGCTTGTGAGGATCCTCATAAACATCTGAAACGCCACCAATCCTTGATCTTGGAAAACGTCTATCCTGCCGACTTTGATGACTTTGGCAAGTTGGAAAGTCCAAACTGACCTCAGAGACTCCTAATATAGGATTTGATCTAGCATATTTCATGTACGGCATTTTACGCCAAGATTTTGTCAATGGACTAAATACAAGAACCCCTCTGTGTGTCCTGTACGAGCTTCTATCAACTTTCCCAAAGTTAGTCAGGCTAGAACATCCTCCAACAATGAAGATATCATCATGTATACCAGCAACGGAGAACAAGAACCTTCCTCTGAGAAAATGAGCATCTATCCTGTGCCATTGATTCAGAGACACATCCAGTGCATGTATCTCACCAGAACAAAAGCCATCTTTAACAGCACCAAACAGAAACAACCATGGACTTTGATAGGACCCCTCCCTCCGCATTTGGAGGAATCTAGGAGTGGTGGTCAAGGACCTCCATTTTTTGCATACAAGTCGGGCATTCATGAGACTTGTCAATGGGAGCCTAACCAAACACATTTCAAGAATATCATCAGGAAGAAAGATATGCATTCTATTGTTTGTCAAAAATTCTTCAAGCTCTGAATTCTTTCGGTTGTATCTTCTCCAAAACCTGTCCTTCACCCCATATGAAAAGCAATCCACGGCAGTTTCTTCAGGGCCACAAATCGGCTTATATCCCTTTCCTTCGTCACTGGCACTAGATCTTCTTCTACTGCTTGAATCACCAAAATCATCACTGGTGTCAGCACCTACCTTACAGCCCCCACCTCGTCCATACAGATTTAGGCATCTTAAAGAAACTCCATTCACATCATCATCTTCGTCCGCTGCATTCCGGTTATTCTTCTTTCTCAACCTCTGACTGACACTCCTCACAAGTCGCTTTGACACACTCAAATTCTGTAAATCTTGACAATGAGATTCGTCTGCCCCCAATCTTCCAGAAAACATTATGCTCACTAATTCTTCACAAAAAAATATACAACACCCATCGCTATCTTGCAATTTTGCGATTAGTGTATCACGCAAGCTCCCCTTCTATTATTCATAAAAAAAAATAAAAAAAAAATCAGTTTGAGCATTGTCAAAGAATATAGAAGCACATATACACACACACTCGTTGCAAACCCACACAGTATTAATGTCTGATTTAACTTTCGACATCTATCCCACAGAATTTTATAACTAAAACAAAAGGGAAAACGAAAGTGATCCTGAAAACAAAAACAAAAAAAAATAAAAAAGGGATTTTTACCTAGCAAAGCAAACCAATGAATCCAGATCCTGGAGGGAAATACACATGTATGGTTGAAATTGGCAGCTTAACATGAAACTAACGGCATTGTGATGTTAGAAGAAGGTTGCGAGAGAGTGATGACAGTGAATCCCTGTGATGAGTGTGCACAGTGAATGATAGCAAATATTTTGCAGAAACAAAGACATTGATTTCATAGAGACACATAACTTTGGGGTTTGACGAATCTAAGGCATAACGGAAACCTCACAGAATTCCAAAGACGGAAAGGGAAAAAGGAAAAGGAAAAGAAAGAAGACTTACATTGCAATGCAATTGGGAAAGAAATGAAATGAATCACCAATTTCTTGCTCCATTGGAAACGCTCATCTTATACCTACCCCAACTTTACCTTTTTCAATAAATCATTTCCATTGAAAAACAAACTAAAATAAATAAATAACAAAATTTAAAATTAAAAAAATATTCTACAAACAAATATTTTTTACAGTAAACAACAATTTTGTGGCTTGATTGGTTGCGATAGGAATTTAGAAAAGCGACTGCAACACTGATGAAAAAGCGACCCGTCGGTTCCTTCTTTTAATATTTGTTATTATATTAATTAATATTATTATTTTTATTATTCTGCAGCTAATCTTTTTCACTAACTTTTTTCTTTTTCTTTTTGCTTTTTCCGCACTCATACGCTACAAACATGTTCTGTAATGATACATGTCAAAAAAATATGCCATGTAATAATAACTGTAAACTCAGCATTCAATTCCCCATGTGTGTGATTTATGAAGCCACGTTTCACTCTGTACAATGTTTTGGCGTAACGGTGATTTTTTTTCCCTCTTATTCTGGGTAAGAAGTATGTATTATTAACAAATTATTGGTAAAATTTGAAGAAGAAAAAAAAGGTAAGACCTAAATGACGAAAAATAGGAAAACGAAACATAAAAAAACTATATTTTTACTAAACAAATAAAAAATATATATATATATATAGGATGAAATACGGAATCTCAAAACAAGCTCAACAAACTAAAATTTTGTGTCGGTAAGTGTTCGTAAAAGACGATGAATTTATGTCTAAATCAGGGAGTGCCTACCTTTTTTATTTTATTTCTGGAAACCCTAATTTCTATGATTGGTTATACATAGTGTTCTTTTACCTGGTAATGTGAGAGGAACATTTATATTAAATTGTGAAGAAATTTAATTATGTTTTTACTTAACTCAAGATTTTGATATGGTTAATATTCTGAGTCCAATTTTGATTTTCTTAAGACCCGAAAAAATTCATGATAAAACCGAGTCACTTCAGATTGTTAATCTTAATATTAAGGGGTATATAATTTTATTTAAGGCGTATTTTATAATTTTTTTAAGATAGTAATATCAATTTAAACATAATATTGTCTTTGATAAAATATCATTCATTTGATCAATTAGTTGTATTATTAGCACATAATTTTGTTTTTCTTTTTAATGTTGGAAATTAGATAAGTTAAAACTATTAAGATATAATCTATATATGTGTTTAATTTCTTAATTTTAAACTCATCAATTTTTTTTTCATTTCAAGTTATTAGATGAAAAGTGATAAATAACTTTTAACGAGTTTCTTGATTAGTTATGTTAACAATTTAAAATTTCAATAAAAATATTTTACTATATAAATAATAAAAATATTTTGTATATTTTTATATAATGTCAATTATTTTATTAATTTTTAATTATTACTATTAAAAAGTAATTAGTTTTTTAAGACCATTAAATAATATTTATAAAAAATTTGATTTAAAAAAAAAGATGACTAATTATAAATCTTTACTATTATAATCGTTAAATTATCAATTTTTTCTCCTTTACTATGTAATGAATTGTGTGTATAATAACACTTATATATATATAATATTATTTAATAATTTATGACATTAAATTAATGAATTTTACATTAATAATGATTAAAAAGTAATAATATATAAAAATCAAATAAAATATTTCAATTATATTAAATACAAATATTTTTCATATAATTATCACATAAAAACATATTTTATCTAATAAAAGATAAATATAATTATTAATAAAGAGCTATTTAAAGTTAAATTTTATAATTAAGTAGGAATTTTAAGTTGAAAATTATTTCAAAACTCTTTGTCTGGTCTCACACCAATTATTTATTTTGAGATAAGATGAAGAAGACTAAGACGTGAAATTTTTGTTAAAGTTACTTTAGTTAGTGTTTTCTTCTTTCTTAAAGCTACTTTCTCGCATTTACTTTTTTTTTTTTTTTTAAAAAGCTTTTTAAATGTTATAATATAAGAACATGAAGAAAATAGGACAATTTTACTCGTTTAAGATATGTAAGAACATGAAGTAGTGGTACATGATATTGATATGGCAGAAGAAGATAATAGGACACTTTTGCTATAAATTCCCAAACGAAAAGATATATAGAAACTAAATTGAACAGACTTGTATATCATACCCCACAACAACAGCCATACAAATCACAGATAACAGAAACATATATGTAAAGATATATGTGATCCTATGCATACACATGCATATATATTATATATTATATATCAGTTGTTGCTCGCTAGACACGAGTACAGCAACATGAGACAAAACCAAGCTTCATGCACTGGAAAAGCTGGGAATTCTTCACTATTAATCAAGGATTTGTGGATGAAGGTGGTGAAGAGAAGAATGGAATGGAGGGAATCGATGTTGGGAGGTTTGGAATGTTTTGAAATGAAGCTGCTGCTGGCAGAGGAGGGAGTGATGATGATGGTATGGTTGGGATGTTTGGATTGTTTGGAATGGTTGGGATGTTTGGATTGTTTGGAATGGTTGGGATGGTTGGCAAGGGTGGAATGGGTAGAAGTGGTGGGAGGGAGGTTGATTGTGGAAGTGTGGGGATAGAAGGCAACGATGGCAGTGGCACGTTCCCCTGAGGCAGATTTGGCAAAGCTGGTTTAGGCAAATTTGGTACAGCAGGTTGAGTCGTTTGCAGAAGATGACGACTGGCTACGCCAAAATTCATGCTTGAAAGGGAAAGAAGTAGAAAGAGAGCTATGACACAGGCCATGATGGCTTAGACAAGTTAAATGTTAAAGGATTTGGAATGGAATAATAGGTTGTGGTATGAAAACTGTTCAGTTTAACTGAGTTATATATACAAGGTTTAGAGATATGAAACGTGTAGCAGAGTGGTTAATGGTCGGTCATCTAAATTTTTGTTTTTTTGTTGGTTTTATATGGTTTTCCTTTGTGCCCATTTCAAAGATGATAATTATATTTATTTATTACAGTTTGTTGGGGGTTGAAATTGAGTCTGTTTTGTTGAGAAGGCATGGTAACTTACAAGGAACTGTTTTCATTGGCCAGCATCTCACAGATAAACCTTGTTTTGTGGTAGCTTTCTCATGAAGAACATTGACTTTTATGACAATTTTCTTCATTCCTTCCAAAGCAGATAGATAGATTAGTTAACCAACAATGGTTCTGATTAAAGTTTGGTGTACGGGATGTTCTGTGGGTAACTAAGAAGTTGAGCTAACAATACTAGTACCATCTCACCAACTCACCCTGTATACCTCGTCATGGAGTTACACAGTTTTGCTATTAAAGTCACACATGCAACATCTGCAATGTAAACTCAAAAAACAAACGTGAACACTTGCAAAGATCCACAACTCCTATTGATCCCCTGAAATTGTTGTATTAAACCATGGCTACTTGCAGCAGTTTGTCGACAGTGGTTTTTTCTTTTCTTGTTCTAACATCATTGTTTGAAAGCAGTCACGTCGGAGCCCGCAATCTTCTAGAACCAACATTGCCAAAGCCAGAAGTGCCACAACTTCCCAAACCTGAATTGCCACCTCTGCCTCAAGTCCCTACATTCCCAAAGCTAGAGATACCTAAGGTTCCGGAATTGCCAAAACTAGAGCAGCCTAAGGTCCCAGAAATACCCAAGATTCCCGAGCTACCTAAGGTACCTGAGATACCTCAAGTTCATGAATTGCCTAATATTCATGAATCACCAAATCCTGTCAAGGTCCCAGAAATACCCAAGGTTCCTGAGCTGGCTAAGGTTCCAGAATTACCAAAACCTGAACTGCCTCAAATGCCAGAATTACCCAAGTTTGAATTGCCTAAAGTATTTGACATACCTAAAGTTCCTGAAGTTCCTAAAGCATTTCCAGTCACCCATCCTTGAGTCTCAATTATGTCTAATCTTCAGGTCATAACTGGCTACATTCCAGTGCCTAGTTCATGCTGTTTGATGTATTTGATATGATTTTTTCAGTTATTTCCTCTTGTGTGTGATTTGTTGCTGCTACTTGAGTGATTGTATTGGTTTACTAGTGTTTTGAACCATACTAAAAGTTATGTTCAGTTTTTAAGTTATTTAAATCCATTATACCTGTAGGCATATCCTTCATGTGTGCAAGTGGTGTGAATTCAATAATATTGTAATTTCTGAAATCTGAGTATTACGTTCTAGATTTTGTGCTTCCAGTTTCTGTTGACACGAATTGAATTGTTAAATCAAAACTTCAACATTTGTTGGAATTTTGTTGGCCACAGGTGTAATAGAAGAGGTTGAATAAATTCATAAATAATATATTTGTGCAGAAAAATTATTTAAATAATTTTTTTAGTTGATTTATTCAATTACATTGGTTTATTATTAATATACAAACTTTAGGAAAGGAAAATAAATTATTTTATATAATATAGTTTTTTTTCTTTCTCTTTTTTCATTTATTCCTTTTTTTTCTTCTATTCTTCTCTCACTCTATTTTATTTTTTAATTAAAAAAATAGTATATTAAAATTTGATAACTAAAATATTTTATTATTATTGAAAAATAAAAATATTTAAATGATCTAAAAATATTATAATTTAATATATTATATAAGAAAAATATATTATAAAATAAATTTAAAATGTTATAAATATTATTGTTATATTATAATTATTAAAAAATATATTTAATTAAAAATAAATTTTAAAAAATATCTAATTATCATAATTCAATCTAATTATAATTAGATTAAAATATTAAATAAAAATATATTTAAACTATAAATATTTAATATTTTTTAATTAGAAGAATAATTATTTATTATGATAAAATAATTTTAAATTATTTATTTAATTTATCATAAATAAAATTATTTATTATTATTATTATTTTAAATATTTAGTTAATATTTTTTTAGTTTTAATATTATTTTTAAAATATTTATTTTAATATATTTTTATTAAATTTTAATATAGTAATTTAATTAAAAGAATAAGTAAGAGATGAGAGATGAAAATAAGAAATATAAAACAAAAAGGAGAAAAACGATGAAAAGTAAAGGAAGAAAAACAAAATTTACAGGAACAGAGAACAAAAATTATGTATAAATAATTATTTTTCTTTAAGATTTATTCGAAGATGTTAACCTAAGAAAATAAAACAAATTAAGTTCAACCCTAAAAATTATTTTAATGTAAATTTTGTTTATTTAATAAATCTAGTTATTAATATTTCATAAAATTATTTAATACATGCGCTAAAATATTTAATTAATTCGTTGAACACATCTAAATATATAAAATAGATACAATTTCTTATTTGAAGTACTTAAAAAATATATTTAATTGAATTATGTGAATAAAAAGAGTTCAAAATCATTTTTTTCATAAATATTAATAATCAATAAATCTGCTGAATATTCCAGGTCTACAATAACAGATTAATGAACACATACAAGAAGTTGTAAGAAAAATAACAAGCAGAGAAAAATGTCATAAGAAAATTTAGAATTATTTGACTGTAATTAAGAGGGTAATAAGAAACACGGAGAAGAAGAAGGGTGGAAAGAGAGTGTTATTCAAATTCATTGATTTTCATTCATTTTAGCGAGAGAGAGAGAAAGAGAAGTAGTAATTTCTTCCTAAGTAGCGAAACAGGAAATGAGGCAGAGAGAGGACGATGTCAATGTCGATGTCGATGTCGACGTTGTACCTCTCTTTATTCGTTCTGCTCGGAATCTTAACCACAACTTCCCATGCCGTTCATGACAAATGCGCCGCCTGCAAAGCCGTCGCGGTATCCTCATATTCTGCTCAATCAAACTCATTGCATAATGTATATAATATAGATAATCCTGTATTCTTGTTACACGTGAAATTTGGTTTTCTTTTGATTTACCCAAAGTCTAGTTTTAACCAAATTAACTACAGGGAGTTGTTTTTATTTAAGCTAATAAATAATTTTTTTCAATCAAAATTAATGAAATGATAAATTTAAGTGTGAAATTTGGAAAATGAATTTACAATTATACATACATCAATGTTACTCAAATAAATAATTATATACAATCGAAAGAAAAAAATGTTGTTCAACAACAATAGATAAATAAATTATATTCATTAACTTAAAAAATAAAGTTCTTTTTTATATTTTTTTATTAAGAGACTTTAGAATATGAGTATCGGTAAAAGTAAAATTAATATAAATGATATAAAATAAAATACTATGTGAAATTAGAGACATGTAAATTCATATAAACAATTAAATAAAGATAAAATAAAAGGATATGATCATATGAAACTTCGATTAAAATAACTTCAAAGAAATACACACGGGTAGATAAATGATGGAGCGAAAAAGTAATACAGAATTTTAAATTGCACAAGAGTAAATTACTAGAAAAAATAAAGAAAGCGGTAATGAAAGTCGATAAAGGCAGAAATCCAGATTACAAAAAAGTCCATGATCATCGTCGTTCTCCAGTAGACTTGTACAAAAAATTTCTGATACCCCTGAAAATCCCCTTCCTTCTTCACGTTTTGTTCTATTTATAACTCTACTCAACATAACCACCTCAGAACGGTTTAGAAACTGTTATCCCATGTTCCCATGTGTAAAGATAATTGCTTCTTTCAATTTCGACCCCAGACATCGAATATTTCAACTGCCTCTGACTTCCTTCAAACTTAACTTAATACTCAATACTTATTATCGATTTTTTACTCCCAATCATGGTCATCGAATTTCTTCCATCCACTTTTCGATTCATATATCGATTTTTCCCACCAACAAAATGCCCCATTGAAAGAATAAAAACATTGTGCAAATTTTGTATTCTTTCAAAAAGTGTCTACCTCAACTCTTAAATGTTTTGAAGCCATACAAAGTTGTTTTTATTATCAAATGTCAAATCAAGTCATTCCCCTCCTTATTATTACTTTTTCTCCAAAACATGTCTTTTTTCAAAAGGTCTGTGTCACGTCTCCATTTAATTTCCTTCCACGTTTATACAGCATTTGATGAGGCAGTTGACATCTTGAATACTCCAAAACCTTTAGGAAATTTGCCTGGTCCTATATGGTTCATCCAATTATGGTTAATTTTGATTTCCGAGAGTATCTCCCCGCATCGTCCAAAATGCCTTCGAGTTTCAATTTAGAAGGGGTTCGATTATCATCTCGACATCCTCAGCAAAAGAACTCTGATAGAACCAATTACACGACTTATTTAAAGTTCCTACTGACTCGATTTTATTTTGACTCATGTTTAGCTCCCTTCATTACATATCATGGAAAATAAGTGATAAACTTCGAGGACCATCATGGTTCAAATCCAGGTTCCAACTCCTACGCTGGACCTACCATCAGAACTGATCGATGTATGGAGCAATTATTTAACTCAAGATGTCTTGGTATCGGGCTTTCAATCAAAGGATATTAAGTTCATCACTTATTACTCCCGACTCTTCTCGAGAAAATTTGGTTTAAGTCAAGCTTTACCGTTTTTCCAAATCGAGAATTTCCCAGGACTCAAGCCCAATGAATCAAATGTGGGAATAGAACTTACCAAATCATTACCACAAGACCCATTTCATTTTTACTCTTATGCTTTCGAATCGAATTACTTATCTACTCATGACTTTTTCAAATGGTGGAATGATTGGTTTTCAAGAATTCACTCTGACTCCGATATAATCCAATCAAATTTAACTGAGCATCATTCTCTCATTGTGCAGGACAAATCGAAGACCAAAAAAAGTAAATACTCTCACTATCTCCAAATATCTCGATTTGAAAACTTTTATCGAGAATGTTACAACTCAATTAAACTAGAGGACACTTTCCTTACCTAAACACTCCCAAACATTCCCTGTCGAACAACTAATACCTCCCTTAGTCCAAGAAGAAGCACCATCTATCGAACAGACTTCGACTTCATTGCCTCGACAGAATGATCATATTCCTGAAGACTTACCAGAATATCGAACTGCTATTGAAGAAGATTCATTTTCGATTCTCGATATTCTGTTGTCTGAAGATGTCACTCCCTCAAGTCATTCATCTCAACCACTCGTGACATCAATGCTATCGATTCATTCCCCGATGAAAGTCTTCCAAAGAGCTTCGATGCTGAAGTAGCAACGGCTACTGATTTATTTAACAATGTTAGATGTGAGATCGAAGAACTGGAGAAGGAACTTCAACAACTCAAAGAACAAGATGACTTCCTCTTGGACTCAATTATTGACAGATTTTGATCAGCTCCGATCTTAATATCAAGTTTTGTAAAACATTATACTTTAATAAATTGTGAATGCTTATTTCCCTTATTCAATGTTTATAATCTTTTAAGTACTTCCCATTTATCAATAGTACTTTCTCTTTACTATGTCAATCAACAATCGAATAAGCATTACCCGATAATACTTTAACAATTTCAAAAGACCATTCCCAGTTCGGTGACCATTTGCCATAACTTTTAGACTTCTTATCCATTGGCAAAATCGTTTTCCAAACTAAATCACCTTCTCTAAATATTTTCTGTCGAACTTTCTTGTTATAAACTCGAGCAATTTGACTTTTTTGTAAGATAATATTATTTAATGCTTGCAATCTTATCTCATCAAGTTCATTTAACTCGTCATACATCAAATTCCAATAATTACAACTAGGCAAATCATTTTGTTTTTGTATTCGAGTTGACTCAATATTGATTTCGATGGGTAAAACCGCATCATGCCCATAGACTAACTTATATGGAGTATTCTGTAGAGAATCTTTCGGCAAATTTTGATAGGCTCATAAAATCTGAAATAACGTTTCATGCCAAGTCTTGGGTTTGTTACCGACATGTTTCTTAATTAAACCAATTATTATTTTATTAATTGTTTTGACATGTCCATTAGCCTG